GCGGGCGCGGATGGCGACGGTGCACGGCGTCTGAGCGGGCTGGGGCCATGAGTGCCACCCGGCCCCAGTTCAGCATCGATGACGCCTTCGAGCTGTCCCTGGAGGACGCGGGCCCTGGGCCCGAGTCCAGCGGGGTCGCCCGCTTCGGGCCGCTGCACTTCCAGCGCCGGGCCCGGTTCGAGGTGGCCGACGAGGACAAGCAGTCCCGGCTGCGCTACCAGGTGAACCGCCCGGCCCACCTCACCCCACGCCTGGGTCTGGGCATACCCCAGGCCGGACCCTGGAGAACCCCAACTCGGGAGAATCTGACTAGAGGCCTCAGCCGGAGCGGGAGACCGCCCCCCGGAGGTGGCCCCTGAGCCAAATCACTGCCCAGACCCTCTCAGCTCTGATTTCGGTCCCCAGCCACTACTGGAGAGCCTAGAGCCCAGACCTGGCAGCTCGTCCCTCACCCCCAGCTGGAGATCCCAACCTGGAGTCCCCACCGATCCTGGGTACTGACCCTCCCTCCCCTTAGCACGCAGGGATGGGGAACTCTTCTGTACCTGAACCAGACTTTGTCCATATTCAGAAGGACTCCCCTGAGCCCCAGGCCAGATAATCCAACGGGAACCAGCACCCCCTCTTCTGTTCTAAGTCCCCACCGCATCCTTCCCTCCAGAGCTGGAGGTCCCCACTCACATGATGAGTCCTTGCCCATGCCTTGGCTACCACTAAACTGGAAATCCCCCTTTCCCAGAAGACCTCCACCAACTCTAGAATCCTTTTCTTGGAAACCTGAACTAGATTCCTATGCCCCAAACCTGGAAACCATTGGCCTGCCCTTCCCTGGCACTGCAAATCCAGGGCCTCCACACTGGGCCCCTGAAATACCATCCTGACAACTCCACCCTGATTCCCAAGCTTGGGAGATCTCCTGGCCCTGGGAACCCTCAACCAGCCCCTGCTGGCTCCTCCTGGCCAAAGGCCCCAGCACCCGCCTCCTACCTGGGTTTCAGTTTCTGTGAATCATCAAACCCGTTCTACGGGGAAGGCCGAGGGAGCAGCTGTCAAGCGGCCAAACAGCTGTGTGTCCAGGCAAACAGCTGTGTGTGCTCGCTTTCTTCCTCTCCACCAGAGGGGAGGGAGGAAGGGCCTGAGCCCAGTAACCCTTCTGAGCCCTGTGTTCTGGAATAGAACCTGGAGAACGATGAGGATGGAACCCAGACCTCTCCGGAGCCGGATGGGGGAGCCGGCACCAGGTCAGGGCCAGGTGGGGACCCACCCCATACTCCTAGCCCCATGCTTCTGTCTCCTGTCCCCAGGCCCCTGCTCAGTCCTCCAGCTCACCTCACTCAGCCCTCTCACATCCTGTCCTACAAGAGACTCCTACACGGGGTCCCCTGTCCTGCACCCTACCCTAGTGCCAGCCTCACCCACCCACCCCACCAGGCTCTTTATCTTGCAGAAACCCCCAGCCTGGTCTGGCCCCTGTCTTCTCACAGGTCACTTGTCCTACAGGAATCCCCAGCTTTCCTCAGCCCCCAGTCCTGCAGAAAGCCCCAGCCCTTGAATTCCTCTTCACCCCGTCCCTTCTCAGTGTCCCCTATTCTGCAGCAACACCCAGTTCCAGTCTCTGCACCATCCCCCAGGACGCCATTACGACTCCTGTCCCAAAGGGTCCCCTCCTCACCTCCCCTTGCCCCCTCGCCGGGCCCATTTGTCCTGCAGGGATTCTGGCCGAACATCCATCCGCAGCTCCCAGTGGTCCTTTAGCACAATCAGCAGTAGCACTCAGCGCTCCTACGATGCCTGCTGCAGGTGAGACCCTGCCCTGCTCCTGCCACCTGGGGCCCCTGCCCCAGTACAGGCAGCCCTACTTCCCCTTGGCTCTCTGGGTGGGGGATGGTGATGGGAGGGGGTGGGCCTCCTGTCGCCTCTTTCACACCCCTCCTGGTCTGCTTCCATCCAGCTGGACTCAACACCCTTTGATCCAGAAGAACCACAGGGTAGTGCTGGCCTCCTTCCTGCTCCTCCTGCTGGGGCTGGGTGAGTGCCCCCGAGGGCCCCCTGCATACCCTGCCTACCCCCATGAGGGGGGTCCACCCTCCTTTCATTCGGGCTCTGTATCGCATCCCCCTTGGCACACTGAGCCTCCCAGCATCCTGAGGAGGCAGCTGGCTGCCATGACCCCACCCCCATTTTACAGGTTAGCAAGCTGAGGCCTTGGGAGGGGCAGGTCCAGCCTCCTGGTCACATAGCCAAGAAATCACAGATAGTTGAAAATGGAACCTGGTTCCATGCTCCAAACTTTTCCTTTTTTTTTTTTTTTTTTTAAGCCTGTTTAATCCATCAGGGAACAGAGAGTAATAGCTACTATTTATTCTCTGTCTGCTTCGAGCCAGATGCAGGGCAGGCTTATTTTCCTTCCTTACAGAGGTCACACAGCAAGTGAGAGGTAGGGCCACAACCCAGAACCTATATGTAGGGGCAGTGCTCAGGGATATGCCCAGCCCAGTGGCCAGGACTGCAGAGTGCCCTGCCAGCCCAATCCACAGGGCACCTGTCACTTCCCTCCTCTGGAGTCTGAGAGCTGACAAGGACCTCTCTCCCACCCCCAAGATACTCAAGATAGGGAAAATGAGGCCCAGAGCAGGAAGAAACCACAGCTAGCTGTTTTCTAACTCCCATGATCCTCATTCTGTGCGGCTGAGGAGTCAGAATCCCCAAAAGGGATCTAGGGTTGGGATCAAGGGGAGCCCTTAGGGAGGGCCCAACTGTGGCACCTGCCCTCCCTCCTTCAGGAAGGTCAGAGTCCCCTAGCTGGAAAGCTGAGCAGCATCCTTGCCTCAGCTCTGGGTGTCTGTGTGCAGGGGAGGGAGCTGCGGCTTCCCCAACACCTGAGAGTTGCACTGGCCACCTGCCTTATCTCATTTCATCCTCAACACCTGACACGGCAAGCATTATTACTATCCCAGTTCAAAAGTAAGGACACAGACTCTGCAGAAGAGCCACAGCTGGGAAGTAGATGAGCTGGGATTTAAAACCACATCAGTGACGTTGCCAGGCCTGTGGGCCACCATAGCCCATAAAGGCCTTTTGCAGGAATTAGAAAAAGATGCCTCCTCTGAGTGGGCAGAGCCCACAGTCCTAAGCCAGGGTACCGGGAGTGAGTTTCAGCCCCCATTGTACCCTTTTTGAGGTGCTCTGTGCAGGGCACAAACCACACAACAGTCCATGGTGGCCCTTCAAGCCTCTGTGCTGCACGGTCCCCCATCTCCCCCGCCCCGCCATCCCATCCTCTAACTGGGGACCCAGGACTCTCTCTGCGTCTGAAAAAGTGATCCAGCTATGACTACCCCAGCTTCCCCAGTGCCCACTGTCCTTAGCCAAAGTCCACATCCCTCCCCAGGGCCTACAGATCCTGCCAAACTCCTCAAGCCTGGACTCTTGCCTCTTCTGTCTCGCCCCAAACTGGAAGTTCCTAGAAAGCCCTGAGTTCCCTCCAGTCTCTGGGCCTTTGCCAGGCTGTTCCCTCCATCTGGAATACTCCTCTCCCTTTCTGCCTCTGCCATGCCCATAGCAAAGCCTCTGGAGTCAGATCACCTCCACCTTCTAAATGCAGTCCTGGGCAAGTTACTTCCCCTCTCTGTGTCTCAGTTTCTTTCCTCTGCTGTGAAATGGGGATGGTAATACCTGTCTCAGTCAAGGTGGCAATTAAATAAGGCACTGCATGTAACACACTTAGCCCAGTGCCTGGCAGCAGCTGGTAGGTGGTCACTAAAAGGTAACTGCTACTGCTGCTGCTGTCCCTGCTCAGCTTAGATGCTACTGCCTCCAAGCCGCCCTTCCTGATACCCCAGGCTCCCGAGCTGTCTGATCACCAGGGTTGTAGCTTGGAGGTTCTTGTTGCTTGCTCCAGTAGGGAAGGGCCATGGGGGCAGCGACAGACATCTCCCAGGGCCTGCCAAGTGCCCTGCTCTGAAAACACAGAGCTTGGTGAACTTCCCCTGGCGGTTCTCTGCCCAGGGGACCTTCAGCTTAGGTGGGGGACACCATTCCTCAGGCCTAAGCCATGTTGGGGGTTGCAGGTGGAGGTCCCCACCCTGCCACCAGCTTCTGCCCCCTGCTCCTGCCCTCACCCTCGTGTTTCCATCTGTGTGCAGTGTTGATCCTGACCGGCGTGGGACTGGAGGTGGCCCCCTCGACAGGTGAGCGCCCCCCTCCTACCTCCGCGGGCAGCGGTCACGCCCCTCGTGTGCCCAGAAGTCCTCGGCAAGCCCTTCCACCTCCCCCAGCGCTCAGCACCCTCCCGGCAGGAAACGTCCCCTTTTACCTCGGAGAGTGAGACTTGCCCAGGCAGTGACCCCGCAGTCCCGCCCGGGAGCCTCCCAGCCCTGACCCGGCCCCTCCTCCCCTCTCGTAGGTGTCTCCAGCGCCATCTTCTTCGTTCCCGGCTTCCTGTTGCTGGTCCCTGGAGGTGCGAGTGGGCGCCGGGCGGGGGCGGGGCGGGGCGGGGGCGGGCCCTGGGCGGGGCCCCGGCGCTGACAGACCCCGCCCTGCAGTCTACCACGTGACCTTCATCTACTGCGCGGTCAAGGGCCACCGGGGCTTCCAGTTCTTCTACCTGCCCTACTTCGAGAAGTGAGCAGGCGGCGGCGGACGGCGGGATCCATCGTCGGCGCCGAGAGGCCCCGCGCGGCCTCCTCGCGTCCCTAGGGGGCGCCCCTGGGGCCCGCGCCCGCTTCGGTACCCTCATCTCAAGGGAAAAGACCCTGCGGGACCCTCGAGGCCCCAGTCCCCTCAGGAGTTTGCTCCGGAAGTTTGGGGCAGTGGGCCTCGGGCCACTACCTGGGCCTGGGAAAGTCGCCCCTTCCGTGCTCCGTGCCTTAACTTATTCTTGGGGGGCTGCTGGGTTGGTGGTGTTTTGTGCTAATAAAAGGGTAATGCTTAATTCCCGCCCACAATTGCTTTTTACTTCCCATCAGCCTGGCCACAGCCCCCTTTCGGAAAGGCTGAGAAAAGGACTGACCCTGGGGCCGAAGGGCTCTAGGACTGTCCATCTCCCCATGGTAAATGTAACAGTCCTGATGCTCCGTGACTTGCCCAAGGTCACACAGCATGTCAGGGGCAGAGCTGGGCCTGGGGCTCTTCTACCCTGCAAGCCTGGAGAAGACTCTCCCAGTCCTTAGCAGAGTCAGTCCTGCCCCTGTCTCCACTCAGAGAGGCAGCATTGGTGCCTCCCCTGGTGGCCCTGGTCAAGGGCACTCAGATGACACAGGCCTGGGGCCTGGAGGCTGGTATCCTGGTTCCAGCCTGGCTCTGGGGCCCTGGGCTGCTGCAGCTGGCTCCGAATGTGGGCCACCAGGACGCAGCAGCCCAGCCTCCTCCACCCACTGCCGTACTTCCCAGGCCCAGAGGCTGGGAGAAGTAGGGGTCAAAGGACATAGGAAGCAGGCCTGTATAACAGAAAACCTCAGGGATCAAAGACTCTTAGAACCACAGAACACTGGAAACAGACCACTGCAGAATTTTGGAAGGTCCAAGCATCTCAGGATCTCAACAACCAGGAAACAGAATATTTGAGAGCCCTGAAATCTGAGGTCATAATAGCTACCATTTATCAGATTCTTAGAAGGCGCCACGTCATGTGCCAGGCACTTGATACAGGTTCTTTCTGCTCACCCTCCATAGAAACTGAGGCCCAGAGAGACTGGCTTGGCCGAGGGCAGAGTGAGGAGCACAACCCAGGGCTTCTGTGCCTCAGAGGGGGGTGGGGATCAGCAAGTTGGCCTGGTCCCCAGCTAACCAACTGAGGGGCTGTAGCCGAATGAGTGTGGGCCTCGGAGACCCTGTTCATGTTGACAGTCTGCCACCCCCAGTGAAACACGAGTGCCATTAAGGTGTTCGGCCTCCACTGTATCTGCAGCGGCCAGGACAGTGCCTTTAGATTTCTGTGATTTTGTTGAAAGAATGAGCAGCCAGACCCCCGCTCTCGCTCCTGATCTCCTGGCCCAGCCAGACTTCCCACCCTCAGTCACCAATCAAGGCACTTTTGGGGGGTACCAGTTAGATGCAGGAACTCCTAAATGAGTGATTCTCAAATTAGCTGGGGGTAAAGGACCAGTTTTCATTTCTAATGCAACATGGACCAATACTTTTGTAAGGTAAAATGAAAACTAAAAAAGTCAAATACAAAGATACAGACTATAAGCCCACAGTTTGTATTATCAGATTAATCAGACATAAAATTACATTTCAATAGAGAAAATCAGAACAAACATGGAAAGAAGAAAAATTATGAACACCATTCATTGAAAGTGGGCAAATTAGCAATTAACATAGAGTTGCTACTACGCTCGTAACTTTCTGTCACTTCACAATCTTAGCTAAACAGCAAGTGATCCCAAAAGTGGTGATTCTCCATATTATAAGACTATCTCAGGGGTCAGCAAGCTGTACCCCACAGGCCCAGTATAGCCACCAAGCTAAGAATGGTTTTCACATTTTAGTAATGGTTGGGATAAAAGTCAAAGGATAATAAGCTTTTGTGACACAAAAAAGTTTATAAAATTCAAATTTTGATGTCAATAAGTCGTTTAATTAAATTATTATTTATTGAATTTCCAACACAGCCACACTCTGTATTGACTTTGGCTGCTCAGCCATACAAACTCCTACAGCAGAGCAACAGAAACCATATGGTCCCCAAAGCCTAAACTCTTTACTGTCTGGCCCTTCACAGAAAAAGTTTGCCAACCCTTGGTCCATATGAACATGTTGACAGAACACTGAATCGCAACGTTTAAAGTTTTAATGTGACCAATGTGCTTGATTTTTGCTGGTTAATTTATGTAATCAAAGTTGGATTGACAGCAACACCATCCTCAGGAAATGATGAATACCCAAATTCTAAATATGATTTATTTTTAGTTGGAAAAGGCATTAATAGTTGCACACAGATTAAGAACATTAGATTTCCTTAGTGAATTGTGACTCAATTTATCCCTGATGCTCTTTGCCCCATAGCCCATTTTGTATGATATGTCTGTAGTTATACTAGCTTTCTTTTGGTTGATTCTCTCCTAGTAAGTATTTTTCCAAGCCATCACTTTCAGCCCTTCAGCTGTCATTATGCTTTGAATGTGTCCTTTTTTGTTTTTTTAATTTATATTTTATTTTTAGTTGCGTTTTGCTGCATGCCGGCTTTCTCTAGTTGCAGTGAGCGGGGGCTACTCTGTTGTGGTGCGAGGGCTTCTCATTGCGGTGGCTTCTCTTGTTGCGGAGCACGGGCTCTAGGCGCGCAGGCTCAGTAGTTGTGGCCCGCGGGCTCTAGAGCGCAGGCTCAGTAGTTGTGGCACACAGGCTTAGTTGCTCCATGGCATGTGGGATCTTCCCGGACCAGGGATCGAACCCGTGTCCCCTGCATTGGCAGGCGGATTTTTAACCACTGCGCCACCAGGGAAATCCTGAATGTGTCTCTTATATGTGCACTTAGCTGTGGGGAAGAGCCTGGTATCTGCCTTTTTGTATATAGATAGATAGATTTTGTGTGTGTGTGTGTGTGTGTGTGTGTGTGTGTGTGGTACACGGGCCTCTCACTGTTGTGGCCTCTCCCATTGCGGAGCACAGGCTCTGGACGCGCAGGCTCAGTGGCCATGGCTCACGGGCCCAGCCGCTCCGCGGCATGTGGGATCCTCCCGGACCGGGGCACGAACCCGTGTCCCCTGCATCGGCAGGCGGACTCTCAACCACTGCGCCACCAGGGAAGCCCCTATTTATTTATTTGTTTGTTTGTTTATTTATTTATTGGCTGCGTTGGGTCTTCGTTGCTGTGCGCGGGCTTTTCTCTAGTTGCGGCGAGCAGGGGCTACTCTTCATTGCAGTGCGCAGGCTTCTCATTGCAGTGGCTTCCCTTGTTGAGGAGCACAGGCTCTACACGCGCAGGCTTCAGTAGTTGTGGCACGTGGGCTCAGTAGTTGTGGCTCACGGGCTCTAGAGTGCAGGCTCAGAAGTTGTGGCGCATGGGCTTAGCCGCTCCGCGGCATGTGGGATCTTCCCGGACCAGGGTTCAAACCCATGTCCCCTGCGTTGGCAGGCGGATTCTTAACCACTGCACCACCAGGGAAGTCCTGGTATCTGCCTTTTGAAATCTGCTCTCTGCCCTTATAATAAAAGAACCTCTGGTTTCTAGCTGGGCACAAGGTCACCCAAAATAAAGATTGCATTTCCCAGCATCCTTTGCAACTAGGCGTACCAGGTGGGGAGCCCTGCCTAATGGGGTATAAGTGGTTCATGCTATTTGCCCCCTTTCTTCTTTGTTCCTGCCTCCAGCCTGCCAGCTGGGAAACAAACAACCATGGCTACACCCTCAGAATGGCAGAGCAGCCAGCAGAAGGAGCCTGAGTCCCTGAAGACCATACAGCTGGATTTCACCTAAGACTCTTCCTGTGGGGGAAATAAACTTCCATCCAGTTTAAAGCATTGTTATTTGGGGTCTCCATCACTTATAGGGAGCCCAATCTAATATTGATATTTTCTTCTGGGACTGAAACTCTGACTTTTAACCAAAAAAACTTAATCTGCCTATATTTGTTGTAATTTTTAAAATAAACTTATTTATTTATTTTTGGCCGCTTTGGTCTTTGTTGCTGCGCATGGCTTTCTCTAGTTGCGGTGAGTGGGGCTACTCTTCGTTGCGGTGCGTGGGCTTCTCATTGCAGTGACTTCTCTTGTTGCGAAGCACGGGCTCTAGGCACGCGGGCTTCAGTAGTTGTGGCGCACGGGCTTAGTTGCTCCGTGGCATGTGGGATCTTCCCGGACCAGGGATTGAACCCATGGCCCCTGCATTGGCATGCGGATTGTTAACCACTGCACCACCAGGGAAGTCCCTATACATTTACTTTTATATATCCTTCTCTGGCTCCAACGTGCTCCTTCAATCTGGACTCTTGCCTTTGTGGAATTCTTTTTATTTATTTATTTATTTAGGGCTGTGTTGGGTCTTTGTTGCTGCACGCGGGCTTTCTCTAGTTGCGGAGAGCAGGGGGCTACTCTCTGTTGTGGTTCGCGGGCTTCTCATCGTGGTGGCTTCTCTTGTTGTGGGCTCGGGCTCTAGGCGCAGAGGCTTCGATAGTTGCGGCACGCAGGCTCAGTAGTTGCGGCATGCAGGCTATAGAGCGCAGGCTCAGTAGTTGTGGCACACGGGCTTAGTTGCTCCACAGCATGTGAGATCTTCCTGGACCAGGGATCGAACCCGTGTCCCCTGCATTGGCAGGCAGATTCTTAACCACTGTGCCACCAGGGAAGTCCCTCTTTGTGGAAGTCTTTATGGAAGTTTTTCAATCATCATCTCTTTAGATATTGCCTCCTGCCTGTTCTCTACATTTTCTTCTTCTGAGATTCCTAATGACTTTTAACTACTCTTTAATATTTTCTGTCTTTCATTCCTCAATGCTACCTTATGGGTGATTTCTCATATATAGCTTCCAGTTCATTAATCTTTTCTTTTTTTTTTTTTTTGCGGTATGCAGGCCTCTCACTGTTGTGGCCTCTCCCGTTGCGGAGCACAGGCTTCGGACGCGCAGGCTCAGCGGCCATGGCCCACGGGCCCAGCTGCTCTGCGGCATGTGGGATCTTCCCGGACCGGGGCACGAACCCGTGTCCCCTGCATCGGCAGGCGGACTCTCAACCACTGCGCCACCTGGGAAGCCCTAATCTTTTCTTAAATTGTGTCCAATATGCTGTTTACTTTACCCCTTGATTTTTTTTTTCATTCCAATGGCTATATCCTCTATTTTTAGAAGTTCTTTTGGGTTATTTTTTTAAATCTCTCTGTTCTGTTTTCATACCATCCTGTTACTGGTAACGGTCTCCTTTCTTTTACCTCAGTTTTTTCTGTTTGTTTGTTTGTTTTTGCGTTTCCTTAATGGCCTCTTTTACATTGTTTTATGATTTA